AAAAAAATAAATCAAGAACACAAAACTTGCGAAATTCAGATTCGAACATATCAAAGGCATTTCACAAAATTTCAAGAACTAAAAGTTTTGTACTTATCTGAACTTGTTTCTTACGATGCATTCCTATCTTTGAATACTAAAATATTCTTCTGTAAAATTGCATGGCACTACATTGAAATGCTATAACACTGTTCCCGACTTTGTCATTTCCATGTCGTTAGCGTTGACTCCTTCTTTTTGTCTCCAACAAAAATAAGTTAAGACGAACACAGAAAATAAATAATAAATTCCTTAAGATTGTTGGTATTACTGTGTTCAAAATCAGAAAAGTAAACAAACGTTAGTTCAATAAACAAAACGTAAAATAATTCCGAGCCCACTGAATGCACAATGTGTCCTTAAGGAATTTAATCCCCTCACTGTTGCCCAAGGTATACGGATTAATTCCTCCCAGGATAGAACGAAATAACTATTCTGTGATAGCGGCACTTCAAATCACAGAACTTCAGCGAACTCAACAAACGGAGCAAATCACACTTGACACTTATGTTTATTTAGAAAATAATGCAACAATGTATAAAAGAGGGGAGAAGATTTCAGATTTTCCATGTCTGATTTTCATATCTAAAAACTGAGGCCAAGCCTCTAAATTTATAGACAAAGGAAGAGTGACATGGAGAGGTGCAATCTAAAAGGTGCCTCTTCCATTTTCCATTCACACCCCTTAATAAAAACGCAACATCATATACGTTAGGAGTGATGGTCATATGAGGAAAAACATGCATGAAAATACTGTGTGATTCACAAATAAGGATTAATCGCATCTAGATAAGTAGGTTTCCTTTTGAACTTTCCGTAGTGAACTTATGTCGGATATACTCGGTCAATCGGTAGATTTGATATCTTTGAACCGTCGAACTTTGGTGTATACCTAGACAACCATAAGTCACACAATTAACCCTTAACCGTCTTTGGTTCTCACGGTTGTGTTCGTTTCAGCCATGAACACCGCCTGGTTTCATGAGTGCTTAGAGAATGGGCCTTTACTTTCATTCCCCTTAAAGCGGCTTACACTTAACACTCACATAGGTGATTTCTAAACGTGTAATCCTATAGACACACTATCT